GGTCAGCGCAGCGACCCCAGACCACGCGGCAGGACGGACCCCCCACACGGTCGGCGGAGCGGCCGCGGGCCAGGCGGCCAGGACCGGGGCAGACAAATGCAACGGCGGGGCCGGAGCCGGGATGGAGGCAGGGACCAGCGGTGCAGCCCCGAGCGGCGAGACCGGGGCCGGGACAGGAACCGGGACCGGCGGGGCAGCCGCGGGCGGGGGGGGGGGGGGGGGGGGGGGGGGGGGCGAGTGGGAACGGAGAAGGCAACACTTGCAAAGGATCCCAATCTTTTTCTTTCCTCCCTTCCTCCTGTTCCCAGCCCTTTTCTTTCCCCTTTTTATTTTCTTGCGTTGTCTCGGTAGTTTCTGATGCCTTAAAGATTTTTATTCTCCTAAAATCTCCAGTCCAGCATATGGCATATTCTTTCTTCTGGATTGATCGGTTCTTTTGAATTTATAAATCAATGTTAGAGCCTAACAAATCTAACTTCTACTTGGATACTTTGAAATGGCTGAAGAGTTGAAGAGCTAACTCATGACCTCCTAATGTTGTTTTTCTCATCACCTTTTTATTTATCCTTTGGCAAGTTATACATCTTTCAGTCACTTGCCTTGCTAATCCAAAAAAAATCCCAATGCATCCATAGCTCCTTTCTTGTGTGTTACATATTTGAGTATTCTTTTTAGAGCATATAATTCACAAGTTTGAGCTTACCAGTTTAAGGTTAATTTCCCTTTTTCAATAGTTTGTGAAATGAACAGGGCTTATGCCTTTATTAATGTTCAGCTCTATTAAAAAGATTAGCTGGGCAGGGGGTTTGACACAGAGCTTGCCTCTGCTGTTGTAGCTTTTTCCAGGTAGCCAAAGGGGGAGAAGGTGTGCAGAGTCTGTCCCTGAAGTCTTCTTGGCACACTGGTAGCCGAAGGGTGAGGGGATGTGCAGTGCATGTTGCTGAAGTCCAGCAGCAGCTGTTTCCTCTCCTTTCCTCCTGGAAACACCAGGAAGAGCTGCTTCTTTATTCCTGCTTCCCATAGCCCAGTCCAGTCCAGTTCTCTGTAGGCTATGGTGACAGGTTAGATATAGACTAGGAATGTGGTTCCCTTTTCCCCAACCAGCACACCCATCCAGCCCCTTCCACTGTGCCCAGCCTTCCATTTAGGGGTGTTTTCATCCCCAAAACCCCCTCCCATGATTCCACTGGTTCCTCTATTTTGCATCCCAGTTCTAGAAAGGCAGTGTGGGTGGGGGGTGTACGTGATCCCCAGGAGCAATTAGCTAATTAACATTTCAATATCAGTACTTAGCTCAAGCCTGCAGTGTCCCAGTATTGCCATGGGAACCAGGAAGGCCCTTTTGTTCATAACAGTTGGCATGTTTTTCCCATCAACTACTGCATACCCTCTATTTTCTCTTTCTACGGGGATTTGTATCTCTGTTAGCTAACATAACCCCCCAAAAGGCTATCTTGGGGTATCTCTGCTGGTACCCTTTTACTTCCTTTTTCTTTCTTTTTTTTTTTTATTTCCCAACTTACTGGTTTTCTGTCCCATTTTTCAAGATCTTATCTATTTATCCCCTGCCTCTGTTTCCCACTTTCTCTAACAACCTGAATACCACCTTCTTTCAACTACCCACACAAAAAAATCCTTTCTCTCACAATACTATTCAACACAATACACCTCCCTCCAAGGAGATAAAGTGAAGCTCAAAATAAACAATGTACATTACATATACTTCCATTCATCTACCTTTACTCACCTTTATTTCTCACTCACTCTCACACATTCACTCCCTCAGGCCTGTTCATTCATACTTCTCGACTTCTGCTTAGTTTTTAGTTATTGTGTCTTGCGCACCTGGATTGTGTAAGATTTTATTTGACGTTCCAGAACCTTAAGTACTGACACCCCTAAATTTCCCCACTGTCTTAGGTTCAGCACTCTGTAAATTTCCCTTTTATTGGACAGAGGAAGGAAACGCTAGCAAATCTCTTAGACTTACATGAAGTGTATTCCTGTTGCCAGAGAATCACAGATCTGTGTAAAGGCCCCATCCTCACGCCTTCCACCTCCCCGAGATTTGGCTATCCCTCTTCCCTAGAGATAGCCTCAGAGTCAGGGGTTTGGACCTCCGCACCTTGCCCAATCTGGACTGCGCCCCCCCCGGGGGAATGGGTTACATGACTACCCTGCGCAGCCGTGGTGCTAAAAGAAAGGTCCTATGATGCTGTGCCATCCTTGCTTTGGGGTCAGCCTCTCTGGGCTTCAATACTGCCAGGCCTCCGGGAAGTGCCCTGAATTTGGTTGCCTCTGGTGCCAGTTCACCTGTGAGGCTGTCTGTGTGTGACTCACACACTTTAGTCACAGCTTCCTCCAGCCACCGGGGAAACAATGGCTTGTTTTTGTGTGGGACCCACCCTCACACACAACAAGACAACAAGGTACCTTTTACTTTCAATTCACCTATTACACTTTTAGGTGTTATGGCCAGTCCTGGTGCTCTTGGATATCCCTCAATCCAGCTGTGTTTTCCAACCCCAGATTCTCTTGGGCATTTTTAATCCCTCAATCCCGCTGTGTTTTCCAACCCCAGATGCTCTTGGGCATTTTTAATCCCTCAATCCAGCTGTGTTGTCCAGCCCCAGATGCTCTTGGGCATATTTTCAATTCGGCAGAATTTTTTGCTCAACCCTGGCTACTCTTGGAATGTTAATCCCTCAACCCAGCAGGTTTGAATCCTGGATGCTTTTGGGCACTCTTATCCCTCAATCCAGCAGAATTTTTAGTGGCCCCTTCCACACAATTTCTTCTTTTTTTTTTTTTTTTTCTAATCACTTGCTTCGACCTAATGAGGAGCACCAAAACAATCAGTAGGTAGATCAGGCAGCAAAGATAGAGGTGTCAAAGGTAGACTTTGGCAACACATAGAGGAGTTGCTCCTAGCTCAGTCAGCCCATGATGACTCAGGTCATCAGGGCAGAGATGCTACCTATAAGTGGACACGAGGCCGATGGGTGGATTTAACCATGGACAGTATTTCTCAGCTTATACATGACTGTGAGACATGTGCTGACATCAAGTAGGCCAAGGGAATGAAGCCCCTATTGATTTATTTAAAAAAATATGGATATTGATCTAGTTTCGATATCCTACTGTGACAGACAAAAACTCTCTAACAATTTAAAGTTAGAAAGTGTATGTTTATTCGACGCCGGGCAGCGTGCGGGATAGCTCCCAAATACACACCGCGCTTTTCAGATGATTACAGAGTCCTTTTATCCATACAAGTATTGAATGCCCAAAATACAAATACATATTCATAATTTTAGTACATCCCATTCCTCGCTTCATGTGATAATAATTTCAAAAGATATTAAGCATGTGTAGTTTGTTCCTTTAAATGGGTTGGTGGTCCCTTTCATGGGGATGGGTCCCAAAATGAGGAAGTAAATGAAGCCTTCCTCATTCTGGCCTTTCTACCTTTTCAATGCAAATATGACAAATAAACTCTTGGTAGAAATCCCATTCCTTGTCTTCAGTTGGTTTCAGAACAGAGGAGGCCCACAATTGTCTTATGTTCCTAAAAGCTATTTGTCAGTTTCTATATTCTTCATTATAAACCCAGCTAACTAAACATTGTGTTGACAAGCAATCAATTATTAAACTACTCTCTCTTCATCAAGGCCTACTCATTTATTTTAATTAACTCTAGTAAGGCTTATCTCTAACTAAAATCTTAGCTCCTCTAAAATTTCTAAGTTCCTTAAAATTTATGTTTCACTATGCTATGGTAGGCAGTGGTCCAAATATAAATATGGGGAGGCCTGGTAGATTGACTACATCACACTGCCCCAGACATGCCAAGGCAAGTGCTATGTGCTGACCATGGTGGAAGCCACCACTGGATGGTTGGAGACCTACCCTGTGCCTCATGCTACTGCCAAGAACACCATCTTGGGCCTGGAAAAGCACGTCCTATGGAGACATGGCACCCCTGAGAGAACTGAGTCAGAGAACAGGACCCATTTCAAGAATGGTCTTATAAACACCTGGGCCAGAGAACATGGTATTGAATGGATATATCATATCCCTTATGCACCAGCTGCTGGGAAAGTTGAACAGCACAATGGACTGTGGATATGGCAGTGTGGCCAGAGAAAGAGAAAGCCAGATAAGCTTTCCCATGAATTGGTCTGAGAAGTTTTAGGGAGGCAGAGAGAAATAATGGTAAACAAATGGTAAACAATATGCAGCCAGTGTTTTGAACAAGTTGTTTTTCTCATAAGATGTTTACCAAAGGGTGTCTTCTTAATTAGCCAGTCATGTGAAATGTCCTGACTGAATGACCAATCAGGTCCACCTGTATTGGAACAGTGTATACAAGAAGGGGTTCCAATAAACTCCGGGCTTCTAGCCTCTTGGCCTTCTGACCTACAGTCTGTTTCACTTATTATCTGTTCCTGACTCAACGGTGACAATGGACTACTTAAGACTACCCTGAAGGCACTTGGCAGGGGAACCTTTAGAAATTGGGAAATGAACTTAGCAAAAGCCACCTGGATGGTCAACACATGAGGGTCCATCAATTGAGCTGGTCCTGCCCAGTCTGAACCCCTGCACACAGTGGATGGAGATAAAGTCCCTATTGTACACATGAAAGGTATTTTAGGAAAGACTGTTTGGATTAATCACACTTCAGGCAAAGACAAACCCATTCATGGGATTGTTTTTGCTCAAGGACCTGGTTACACTTGGTGGATAATGCAGAAAGATGGAGAAGCCTGCTGTGTACCACAGGGAAACCTAGTCTTAAGTGAGAACTGTGTGTAAGGTTTCATTGTGTAGAGTTTATTGATTTGGGTAAGTCTCAGATTGAAAGGCAAGATGTATTCCATTTGCCATCTGTATGGCAGCTGTCTTCTGTTAAGTGGGCAGTTTTCCTTATCTCTTCCACAACCAATCCTCTCTCAAGGGGAGACATCTGCTAATAATGGGCTATTGAATGTCACTGCATGACTGATAAGAACTATAACATCGCATTGTGAGATGCTCCGCCCAGAGGGAGTAGCCAAGCATTCCTACCTGGCTATAATCAGGTATTTCAAACACCATAAGCAGCCTTTTCGCACTGGATTCCCAGAGGAGCAACTGTCTTCTCCACTGTATTCCCAGAGGAAGACCAGGCCCACCACCAGACCTTCAGAGGAAAACTACACCCTCCTACAGGACCACTGCTTCAACTGAACCATATCTGTCACTCCAGAAGGACTGCAGCCACCATTCAATCGGACTGCTATCAACACCCTGACCCACAGGGTGTCAGGTTGTATTCTGACCCTGTCGGTAGTTTTTTTTTGTTCGTTCTATTACATTTGTTTGGGGTTTTTTTTTTTGTTTTGTTTTCTTAGTAAAGAACTGTCATCCCTATTCCCATATCTTTGCCTGAGAGCCTTTTAATTTCAAAATCATAATAATTTGGTGGGAGGGGGTTTACATTTTCCATTTCAGGGGAGACTCCTACCTTCCTTAAGCAGACACCTGTCTTTTCAAACCAAGACAGTTACTAACAGAAGAAACTGCTATATGTTGTCTGATTTTATTTTTTTAAGCACTGAGGAAAGGGATCAGGGAAGGTGGCTGGGGAAGTAGAACAGGACAGAGACACAGATGATACACCCCTTCACTTATTTTCTCTGAGTTCTCTGGGAAATCACCAGCCCTTTGCCCCAGGATGTGGTGGGTCTGGAACCCCGCACCGCTGTGCTGGATGTTTGCACCGCCAGGGCAGGCACCAGCCCCACTACCAGGCCTTAGCTCCCCATTTGTATGCAACTGGCCCACAATGACAGCTTTCAAGACAGAGGGGACCTGCAGTCTTTGCTGAGATGGAGCCTAGTTGAACAAACCCTTAAAAATAGGCTGTGGCCTGATAAACAAGCTGGTAGGACAAACAGGATGGTGTCACCTCCTTCACCTCTCAACTTCAAAGCGTGGATTCCTTAACCCATCTCCTTTACTCACCATAACACCACAGGGCTGAGAGATTAATTACTTAAGCTAAATTGGAAGGGGATGCCTCTATATGGGGGCTGATGTTTCAATTGATTCTTCAGAAGGACCACATAAAAAGAAACTTTTTAGTTTATGATGCTATTATGCAGAATTTTAATCTAGGGATAGATTTAGCCATATATTATCTACTGGGAATTTAACAAAACCCTTATGTATTCAATTACTTTTTATGCCACACAATGTCTCTATCCAGAAATGTTTCCTTATATATATTTCTTTGTTTCTGTTGGCATATTTATATATTTAAATTTAGCTTTAAAAATATTATTTCTTCTCAAACCTCTTGTATAGCATTTCTCTCAAGCAGGACTGTGTTAGATTCCATTCCACATCACCTATAAAAAAAGTTTTCCTCTTCCCTACTTTGTTTCAAAGATGATTAGTTTGCACGTCCACTGTCTTAGTTCTCGCCAGGACAGGGTTAATTTTTTCAGTAGCCAGGAGGGGGCATGGCTAACCCAGAGGTTATTCTATACCACCTCACATCATTGCCGGGGGTGGGAGGGGAGGTGGGGTGTTGGGGGGGGAAGAGAGTCTCTTCAAGGGAGAAGGGGAGAAGGGTTCATTCTGGTCTTGGTTGGGTTGAGCTCTTCAGTGAGCATTTTTCATGTTTTCATGTGAATCATTCCACATCTCTGTTGTTCACTTTTATTACTGTTGCTGTTACTGGTCCTTTTCTTATCTCACTGATATAATGAACAAAAGAGCCTTCCTAGTTCCCATGGCAATACTGAGACACTGCTAGCTCTAGCTAAGTACTGATTAATTGCTCTGCTCTGTTTGTTTTCTCTCAACTACCTGGAGATCACCTGCCCCCCCCCCCCCCCCCCCCCCCCCCCCCGCCATTCTAGGACTAAGATGCAAATAGGGGAAGCCATGGAACCATGGGAGCGCATTTTGGGGGATAAAGACACCCCTAAATAGAGAACTAAACACAGTAGAGGGGGCTAGACAGATGCCCTGGCTGAGGAAGAGGGAAACACATCCCCTGATCGACATTTAACCTGTCACCATCACCTACAGAAGACTAGACTGGAGTGGGCTGTGGGAAGCAGGAACAAAGAGGCAAGATTTTCCTGGTGTTACCAAGAGGAAAGGAGAGGGGACAGCTGCTGCTCAGAACTTCAGCGACAGACTCTGCACGCCTCCTCCCCCTTCGGCTACCTGGAAAAAGTTAAAACAGTGGGGGCAAGCTCTGAGTCGAGCCCCCTTCCCAGCTGATCTTTTTAATAAAGAGTTGAACATTAATAAAGGCATAAACCCTGTTCATTTCAATTGATGCTTTCAGTACATTGTTCTTATCTCAACCTGTGATCTTTATCTTTTGTGCCTCCAATTCTCCTCTCCATCCTGCTGCAGGGGGGAGGGCATGAACCGAAGGGCAGTGTGGTTTCAGTGTGTGAGAAACGATACTCACTTTTAAAATATCAAAGGTTTATTAAACCTTAACAAAAATACAACAAAGGACTGAATAAGGAAACATTACAGCGCTGAGAGTCTCTGTGACCAGCAGCCATGTGCTCGTCTACAAAATGGACGCTCTGCTTTTGATACCCTTGGCCCTTCCCAAAGTCTTGTCAGTCAACTCTTTCTCTGCTGTCTATTAGTAGAGATCACTTTCTTACAACTTGATTGGAGGTCAGGTGTTGCCATGCTGCACCTCCTCGTAACAAGCTCTCTGCTGGCGCTCCTCTCCCCGACGCCCTTCCTCAGCCCCGGCTAGCTCTACTGGGGAGAGGTGCGGGCAGGTTTCTAGCACTTCCCGCTGGACCCTCGCAGGCTTTGGGAAGCGCTATCGGAGTTCCAGAGAGCAGTCAGCGACCCCACAGCCAATTACGAAGAGAGTCTTTCTCTTGGCGCGAATTCCGTTTATTGTAATCCAACGGGGAATACAATAACTCAAAGGGGACCAGGCGTGCCGTGCCGGTGTTTGCCGGAAAGGCGCGGGCAGGGTGGAACACGCTGGAGCCAGCCAGAAGAAAGCGCGAAACGAACCGCGCAAACAAACTAAATACGGAATGGGGGAAAACCGATCAGCCAATGGGGTAAAACCGCGGGGGGTTCAAGGGTGGTGGGATATGGGGGTGCATCCAATGAAGGATAGACAGGGGAAGGGTCCCAGGTCCTTTACCAATCACCCAGCGTCCCGGGTGGAAGATTCTAGGTGGATGGGAAGGGACACCGAGTGACAGACAGGCATCTGGGGAACACAGGGGGATGACTTAGCACTTTTGGGGATAACGGACATGCGGGGGAAAGGCAGGAAAACCTGGGGAGAAACCATTACAGAACCGGGGGTACATGGAACAAACCTATACATGATACAAATGTAATAAAACATAAAAAACACAACTCCACAGCTCTCCTTCCCCTAAATGCTCCAACTAGTGACAACAACACAAGGGGGAAGGGAAAGTGGACAATGGGGAGAACATATACAAATAACATAACTATACATCTATAAAATCTCTCTTAACATGCGCATAATATTAATCTCTTAATTGTGAAAGCCAACCATCGCATTACACATTTATAAAAAGTGGGAGCACTAAACTGGGGAGTACCATTCCTAAACCGTGGCATCCACACACTATGCTCTTCCTGCTTGTCGTGGATTGATAAGGAAGTGGGTTTTCTCAAGAAGTTATAGTCAAACCAATCAGTGGTCAAATATAAATACTGACACCTAGTGCGACCACTGAAAGTATAGACACGCCTCTGAAAACACAGGGAGCTAAAAATAGAAAACTCCCAGGAGAACTTTCTCTTTTTTTCCAGTCAGCGAAGAGTGCAGATTCTCCCCTGCCCAGCCATAGTCTCGGTGAAGGAGGGGAAGCCATGCAGCCTATAACTAAAGTAAGCTAAAGCCCCAAAAAGAAAAAAAGAGTAAAAAGAAAAAAAACCAGATCAGCCCGTGCAAGACAGAAAAGTAGAGAAACACTGAAATGTCCCAAACAGCCCCCCCAGAGGGAGAAAGAGAGATAGAACTTGTTCCACCCAGAAATTTAATATCATGTGCCGGCAGTGCGCTTTACAAAACACTACTCCTCCTCAATTTAAAAGAAAAAAAGTCTAAGACCTAATATGTTAGAAAAAGAAATCCTAGGTAAGAAGAAATAATAAAGTAGTCTTGTCTAGACTTTTCTTACATAAGCATAGACTAAACCAATTTCTCCTGCAACGCAAACTACATTCTAGAGAGATGCAATGACTTAAACTAAAAAAGTAACTGTAGGAATCTGTGGTATTGATGATTCCGAGATTGTAAAAAGTCTCTGTCTTTCTGCCCCGTCACCAAAGAAGAGGTCATAATTCGTCTGTGCTGTTTTCAAGGTTGTTTATTCTTGCTTATCTATAGCATGTTCTGCTGCCCTGCCGCAGGTCTGTCCTGCAGGGCAGTGTGCGGGGCTCTGCCCCTCAGTGGGATGGTACAAACATTATATACCAGAAACTACGTGTACTATATTTACAATAATGTGCCAATATCTATAATCTACGTTGAGCAGTGTGTCCCCAGCCTAAACCAATAGAAAAATGCCAACACTACAGTGAAACATGGAGGGCATAAAGAAGGAGGAAAAGGACAAGACACACCCAATTTCCTCCATCTTGTCCCCTTTGAACCCCTAATCTAGAATCCTAAAATTTTACTTTTGCACCCGTGCCACACTTAATTATTACTTATATCAAACACTCAGAGCTTGTCATTCATCCGTGTAAGATTGAAAACTCTTTTCCATGGACAGAGATCAGAGACAGTGTCTCTTGGGGCTCTGTACAGGGGGGTTTCTGACCCCCTGCCAGGGTCCCAGGCCTTCCAGGGCAGCCAGAGGGAAGCCCTGGATTCCCACAAGTAACAAGAGTAAAAGTGACCTGTTTCAATAAGTGATGTCATATACAAAATTAAAGTGAAAAAAAAAAAAAAAAGATAAGAATGTAGTAGTTCCCTCTGTCTTCAAAGAAGAAAAAGATTTCTATTCTATAGACCCTCAGCCCCAGGGGAGGAGAAAATAAGAAAAATGTTGTCCCAAAATAAGAAACTGTTATTCTTTATTCCTTAACAAAACATCTTAAAAAAAAACCCCTATAAACAATCTTAGTCCATGCACAGTAGTAAGAACACTATACATAAAAAGAAAATATCACTATAACTAAATTTTCTCCAAGCAGTACCATGTGTAACATAGAAACACAAGAATTTACAATTGTGTTTCCTAGAAAAGTCTATAATACAAAAGAGACTCCTCTCTCCTTTAATAAAGTAAAAATTAGTTATCTAAAAAGTGGTGACTTAATCAGGAATCCAGCATTTTATCTCACTGTGTTTTATTAAAAATTTAACGAGGGAGGAGGAATGTTTTAAAATATTTGCATTCTAAATTTTATATGTTCCTTTTCTTATAGTTGTAAGTTAATAAAGTTCTTTTCTTTATTTTTAAGCTTAAACCTACTCTACTCTGTTTCTAGTCACATCTCACAGCAGTCATTTAAGAAAAATATATTCTCATAAGCACACTAGCATTACACTAGCATCAAACCATAACACTGCCTTGCGCAGATGGGGCCGATATTACGCCATCTCTACCGGCACTGGTGTACACTGCTGGAAGCCAGCACAGCCCAGGAGCCTGGCCAAGCTACAGGGCCTGTGTGTGTGTGTGACTCCCTGGCCCTGAATCTGGTCTCCTCCCAAACCTTCCCCAGCCACAGCTCCTTTGGGGCATACATTTGCTCCTGGTCATTTTTCTGCAAGAGGCACCTCGGCATTGGGGTGTTGGCTGGTACCCTCCCCTGCCTTTCAGGCCAGTTTCAAGTGTCCAGAGTGTTATAAATACATATTAAAATATTGGCTTTTTGCAAATATTAAAATGGATGCTATATGTATAATGTTAAAGTAACTTTTCTATAAAGATATAGTTTTTATTTCTGCTATTAACTAAACTTAGACATAGTAGTGAAATTACTGATATAGTTATGCTTGTGATAATTGAACTGCTTGCTTGGTTGGGATAACATCCAATGAATGTGTGATGAAGACCTCTGCTACTGACATGCCAACTATCAGCACCTGCTGTCTGTAGAAAGTATGGACCAAAGCCCAAGCTGGAGGTGGTGATAAGAACAGACTAAAACTACAGCTAAGAAATGCACATGCTCTAAAAAGGCAGACATGAGGAGGAGCCATGCTAAACAGTTCTTGGAACATGTAAACTAGTTTGGGGAAAAGTTGAAATATGCATAATTTTTTATTAATATGCATTACGCTGATGCAATAGAAAAGGTATGTAAAGGGTGTCTGAAATATCAGGTGTGCTCTTGGCTGAATGCCAAGCACCTGGCTGTTAAACTTTGCTTTACTTTTGTATCCTATTGTCCTTTATTAAACTTTTAAATTTTACCAGGAAAGTGAATCTTGTTTTTCACAAGAGCTAGCCCTGTCACTGAGTCTGGACAGTGGAAGGGGAGGCAAGGGCCTTACCTGCTTTCAGCTGCTCCCTTTCTTGCAGTGTTGCTGGCAAGGGCAGTGTGCATGGTCACCCCAAGGAAACAGTCCCATGCAGGGGATCTGTTGGAAAGTGGGTCTGGTTTGATGACCCCTTGGCACAGACACCACTCTGTATGTAATAATTTCCCTTACTTACAGTAACTACTTTACCAGTTCCTGATAATTTTCTATTTGATAGAAATAATGGAAATTATTATCATGGTCAAACACTCCTTGCACTGGAACTTGCTAACCAAAGCAGATTGTTTTTCAGCTTGTTACTAGTGGCTCCCCAACCGCAATGAAGGTTCATCTGCTCCCTTTTCCCTAGTGTAAGAATGGGCTAAACAGGAAGGAATTCAATCGGTATTCCATACCCCATAGTAGCCCAAATCAAATGGAATTATGGAAAGAGCTAATGGCTTATTGAAAAGGAACCTTAAGCCACATGAGGCTGTTACAAATGGAGATGAGAGCTTAGACAAGTCCTGCCTTTAACTCAGATTTCTGGTAGTAGCTCTGAGGCAGCTTGCACCCCAAATGGTTCTTGCTCCTAAGTTCTTAAGAATGGCCAATTAGATCTCTTACAAAATTAATTATTTATTGAATAGACACACAATTAACAGACATAGTACTTTAAACAGACTACTTCCTGTCACTGTGCCTTCCCAAGTCTCGCTAGCATTAGTGGCTTTGCTGGAGTTCGAACCCAGGCTGCCGGCATGGCAGGTGAGAATTTTACCGCGGAGCCACTAAGGCTGTTGCTAGGTTAACAAGTCTCGGTTA